ATTTTTTATAAATTATTTTTCTCGCGAAAGCGACGCTTGTAGAACACTCTTGCCCGTGGACGCCGTATATGAAGTAAGTACAATGCAAAGGTGTAATATTCCTATGTAAAATACAAATTGATATCGTTTTTAAATAATATAATTTCAACAGTACAAAGGACTGGAATTAATTCAAGAAAAAATGAATAAATGCCGAAAAAAAACGGAACTCGTTCAATCAATAATATAGGAACGTACTTAAAATTTTCTGAACAATATGAACTGATCTCAGACACACCCTAAAACTCATATTTGACAAATAATGATGACGTAATGGTGAACCATGGTTGAACAGTCCATATTATTCCTTTAGCCCTTAATTCAAAATTCATTTTTATTGTTTTTTTTTGTTCTGACACAGAGGTAAACATTATTATTGTTTGTAATATATAGCTAATGAATGTTTCTTATTTGAAGGTTGCTCTATATTGATTACATTTACGAGATGTTTATTAAAATTATTGTGTTTGTAATTTTTGTTGCAATGACCTCATTGTCCTAGTAAGCTATATTGTTCAAGATAATATTTGACTTGGAAAATTTATTTGATGAAACCTATTTTTCTCTACATATAGGTATAGAAAATCATTCAATTACAGTGTAGTTGTTGTACCGGTTAACATTTTAAATGAATGTTTAACCATGTTTAAAGATAAATAGTAATAATTTATAAATATACAGAGTGTATCTCCTACAACGCTCTTCAAAAGAAATTGCCATTTATACACCATTTATAGATAGGTGTAATACACCGCATACACACAATTGTATTCTTCTAAAACCAAAGCTACTATCTGCAAAACTCCAAAAATATTTCTTCCTAACTGGCCCATGAAAATAGTATCTATGCATATGCATAGTAGAAAGTCCTAGATGCCTTGAAAGTGAAAAAATTCGGACAATTTACCTATAAATATTTTTTTTTTCTTTTCAACTGTGTGATTAACAGTTTTCAAGATATAGCCTATGTCTGTTATTATTGGACCACCCTTTATATAACAATTTAGTAAATTAAATTTAATTTTAATATTATACTATTTAACTTATACACATACTCAGATATAAATCATCCAGGTAAATGTTTTAAATTAACTGAATAAAGATTTATTTATATTCTGAAACCAATAAAAGTAATCCATTTAATAATTCACAGCACGTAAAAATTATTTAACAATATAATTTAAGCGTAATAATCGGCCTACATATAAATATAAACGTACTTGTGAAGTTTTGGCGTTTTATTACTAGTGGCCAATTATCAATGTGATCATGTGATCAATTACTCATCGCGCCCGATACTAAATTTTATAGCAGTAGTGCAATTTATAATTATTATAATACAAATTATTAATTTAATAATTTAAGGTGTATAAATTAGAAGATGATGTTAAGATTTAGTTATTGAATTCTTCCAAAAATACACATGACTTATAATCCAGGAGGCAGTGATTTCCGGTATGTATTTATTTTCCCAGTCAGCACACACCGATAGAATTATTCGGTGTTATTATGTTATTCTATGCAAATTTCGTGGCCGGCGGAGCTCCAGCGTTAGTGTGTCGATCTGCGGAGCGGAAGGTACTGGGTTTGATCCCCAGCCAGTACGGTCGCTCTATTTATTTAAATAAAAATATTTATTTATCTAAATAGAGCGACCAACGAGCCGCCACGTCAAGGAAGGCACTGGCAAACCACCTGCCTTGTACAGCCTCTCAAATGTGCCGTCAAAGCATATCAAAAATGTTAGGTACACCGCGATGGGCCTCAAATATGACCGACTTAAATTCCGGTTTATCAGTGTCATTCTAATTTTATTTAAAAAATGTAAAACTATGATGTAGGGTAGACGTGGGGTAGACTCAATAATTTGTTGTTTTATTTTACGTTGTGAATAAATGTTGGTAGTTATTAAAATTGTCGTAAAAATATATAATTCTAATAAAAACAGATAAGTTATAATAAGTATTTATTAACACAAACATCCGATACGCTACTGAAGCAGGTAAGTTAAATTAACGTATCTAAATTCTTTGACATCTAATCTTTGACAAGTAATAAATAAAAGCTAAAATGCAAGAAAAATATATAATTTAGTTAATTTAAGTGAATTTCATAAATGATCGGTTTACTACACGTATGTATATTATATAGTCACTTACTAGCGATAAGTTGTTCCATTATTTCACTCAAGTTTTGCCGAGATCTACCGCACGCTACATAACCAACTATTTTAGAGTCTTTTTCGATAAATCGCGATAGCGTCACTGTTAATTTAAGTTCTGCCTCATTTTCCATCCAGATTTACTACCTTTATACAACTATCAGTAGTAGAATAAATAATAAATAACATAAAATAAGCTCCGTAAAGACTTACAAATCCACAAAATTTCAAATCAAATTCAAATGTGTCAAATGAATCGTCAAACAGAACTGTCAAGGATCCCCACCCTAGAGAGCTTTTTCCGCCCACCATGCATGAATACATGGATAGCATTATGCTCCTTCCTAATCTTCCTTAGTCTTCTTATTCAAAGGTTTATGAATAACAGAGAAACAGACAGTCGAGATCTTAAGGTACATTCAGGCTGAAAGCGTCGAGCGTCGCGTCGCGTCCACGTGTCGAAATGGAATCATTCACTTAACTTAAATTAGACCATTCAGGCAGACAGCGTCGCGTTTGGCGATGCGCTAGCGTCCGCTGAGCGTCGGGGTTCGAGTTCAATGGGCCGGACGCGACGCTCTCAGCCTGAATGTACCTTTACTCGAATTTTCTGTTTACGTCTGGTTGCTGTTCTCTGTTTCTCCAGATTATTCCACTCTCTCTCGAATGGGGGATGCGGGCCGGGGCATATTAGTCAGGTTAGGCCGAGTCCACACGGGTCCGCAACAATAAAAATAGTTTGGCTAATCTGTGAGAATGGGGAATATGTCTGGCAGGTAAAAATTGGATAAACATTATTGAAACCATTGCTAGTGCAGATGATAGTTTATATTATAAATTACAGTTGCAATTACTGTCTAGCTACTGTGGAAAATCCCGAAAGCCTTGCCAGACTCGTCTATTGGTGCGTTTAGGCTTGAGCACGAACGCCCTGATTCTTCACGAACGCTCAAGTATAAACGGCTGTGCGCGCACGCTCACTCTGAATCTGCCTATGCGCGAGCAGCCGCGAACGTGAGCCGTCTGGTGTCGGTTTTTGGTCCGTGCTCAAAGGGATTTTCTGTGTGCGCGAACTCTCAGTTTGCACCGGCAATTTGTTTTGTCTGCATGCGTGCGTGCGTCTGTGATTTTTTTTCGTTTTCTTTATTAAAATTATGAAGTGGACCAATGAATCTTCGTTATTATTAATTCAAGAATATGAAAAGTTGCCGATATTATACAGGATGTTAAACATTTTTCGTATTATTCAAAATCCAAAAAAATTACGCATAGCAAGACCTTGTAATTAAAATTAATATTGAACATAGCCCTCCTCAGACACTGTAGTTTAATAAATAATTATATCGACTTCTAAAAATTTGGGTTTGCCACCAGCGACGATGTTTTCGATTTTTCTTCTTTTTATTAGCTCAATTTCATTGTTAAGCTGTGCATAATAATATAATAACTATTTCTTGGTCGTCCATTATTTTCACCAACACAACTCTGCTGTGCGCGCACAAGTGGATCACTTCATTCGTCGAAAAATAAGTTTTTAATTTAAACGGAGCCGAGAGCACGAACGAATGCCGTGCGCGCACGCTCAGCTCGTGCGTGCTCAAGTCTAAACGCACCTTAACGCTCGTCATGCGCGCTATATTCACACGCACGTGCTGCTTCCGCTCCTCATTTGACTACCTGACTTGTGAATCTGGCGGGGCTTTCATGATTTTAAATGACAGCCAGACTTATTTAGACAGTATTTTCTAAGGTATTTTCTATGAAATTATAGTATTATTTATCATGTGCTCCATTTAACCGATCCTGTATCTCTTACGGTTTCCGAAATCCCAATGATGAGCTTCGAATTCGAGCCACCCTGTACTGTTTCCATTCATAAAATGATTCACTTCAATAATTGTCAAATATTTATGGCTGGGAAAATAAAAGAGCTTTTTTAGTTTTTTATCTAGTGAACCCATTCGAAAATATTATCCAGCCTCCTGGACTATTGAATTTTTGTGTTGAAAAATAGCTTATTTGTATTAGAAACACTTTATTTCCTCATACATATTTCATTTAAATAAAGTAGATAAGAAAGATAAGTATAAATTTTATTTAAAACTCTAAATAATATTAAATTATTATTTATATAAAATTTATTTTTATTTGTATCAAATCTTTTCGTTTTTCAGTAATGTATATTATACCTTGAACAAAATATTTGAATAATAATTTCAAATAAAAGTACTACAAAAAAATCTGGAATATGCCAAATAAATGGTTTAATTGTGTTTTTTTTATTTTGATTATTTTTATTTTGTATTCAATCAAAATATATTCCTACGTAATCGATATGTTAGGCACAAAGTATTAAGCAGTTAAGGTCCCCACAGACGACCAGTTTTTCGCACAGGTCGCCCGTACAAACCTGATTAGCACGTGTGTGGGAACTTTCAGCCGACTGTGCAGGCTGTTGGCTTGACATTAGCAAAATTAGATCCTGCTTGAATTTAGCCTGGGCAAACTTTGAAGACTGAATTTGTCTGTACAATCAGCCTGTACTAAAGTGAGCGTCTGTGAAAGTTCTTAGGCATGCTAAATAAGAACTTATTTGAAGGAAATAAAAAGATGAAATGATTCGATGATCAATGCAATTTGTTCATATTTTATTCAATTTGGATATTTAAATATATCGAAAACTTAATATCGTGACAACATTACGATATGAAAAATTAATATTTTTATAAATTTAAGTATTATCGTTACTTAGAATAAGTACGTCATAAGTTACTTTAATGAACTGCATGTATTACTTTACCTGTAGACATATGGTCCCACTTCCTGGAATTTTAGTTTTGCATCTTTGCCACTCATATATTCGTCTCTGTTCGTCACATTCCACAAGTATACTTTTAGAAAAAGCTCTACAGGGGGTTTTTCCCATAATGAGTAAATTTCGCCTCCAGGTCCGAATACAAGTTTCTAAAACGACAATATGGTATTTTAATAAACACTCTGAAACATTATTCAATAAATATTATTCCGCAGAAATATTTAAAACAATATTAATATTCAAAGCAACTGAGCAATTTACTTTATTTCAATTTTCTTTTTAAATTTTAAATAAAAACAAGCAAATTATTTATATATTAAATTTCCATGTCATTTAAATATTAAATTATTTTTTGGCGTGGCTTATTGCTTTGTTTGTCCTGTATAATTAAATATTAATATGAGATTGCTAAGGAAATATATTTAAATTTAACAGTTTCACACTCATAAAGTTTGCACCAAAGAAAAAAAGGATTTAATGTTATCTTCTAAAGAACCTTTTAGAATTAATGCTAAATAACATCTATAAATTTACTAACTGATACGTTAAGTTTAAGTCTCTATTTTAATCAGTTAATATAATTAGTCAGTTAAATTAATCAATTAAACAATTTTAAGCCAAAAAAAATGTCTCGTGTATAATGGACTTATTTCCAATTACTCTAATAATCTATTTTTTGTGAAGACGGTTTAAATTCTAACACAGTCATAAAAATAACTATTACCTACCCACTCATATAGCAGATTGTATGGATTTACAATTAAAATAAACAGGCCAGATATCAGTGCTCCAATGCCCAGAAATGCATAAGTTAAGGCACCTGAAACAATGAAATAACCAATTTTTAGAAACCTATATACAGGGGAAACCTATACAGGGTGGCCCATCGAAAACGTTCCGCAAGACATAACGGCTAGGATATTTTTTTTTTCAAAAAATCCAAAAACAGGTCAATTTTGTTTGTGAGGGGGACGAATTTCGTCCCCCTCACAAAGGGGGACAAAAAGTTATCTCCCTTACAAACAAAATTGACGTGTTTTTAGATTTTCTGAAAAAAAAAATTACCCTGGCCATTATGCCTTTTGAGTACTGCCAATTTTGAGTACCACTACCTATGTTGCAATATTATCAAGAAATTATATTTTTAACTAAAAACTAAAAAAAAAAATCCAACAATGTTTACAAAAATTCCAAATTTTCTGGGGTCAAAATATACTACGTCTAAAAATATTTGCACTTATTTAAGACTCACCCTGTATATATAAGATTAGTGAAATATGTGTTTTATTTATGAATAAAATAATTTCCGTATTAGATATGCGAAAATTGGCATTTCGATTTCACAGAAATTATGAATAATTTTATAAAGAAATAACCATCGAGGTCAATTCACTTGTATGTTTTGGAAATGTTACTGATTGTCTTTGTTATTTTTGGGAGTCAAATTATTAAAAAGACAATTTTATTTCTCCGTTAATTAATGGATTAACATTTCCGGGTTAGGTGCTGTCTCAAATAATGTCGTTGATGGATTTAGTTGCCAAAGGTAATAATTGCAGTAAAATATAATTAAATATATTAATCTGTTATATATATCCCGTTAACTTGTGAGGAATACATTTAACTTGGAATTTTTATATTACAAAACATTTTATATAAATTTCAGCTATCTAGAAGTACCCCAGAAGCAAACTATATTAAGTCTTTTAATCTAAATCAAAGCAGAAACTATCAACATATAGAAGTCAAATTTCACCTAAGTCAGTAAATAAAAAAAGGTTCCGTATGATGCGGACTTAATCTGTATCACCGTATTTATTTTTTTAAAACTTCTTATACCGGGTGCGTCTCAAAAGTCGCTCACAATTATAACTTTTTTATTTTTTCAGGTAAAAAAACGAGATTTGGTATGTTAGTATAGGACATAAATTAGGATTGATTGACGTATTCAATTCTCTTGGGCCACTTCCTGTTTCATCGGAAATGACTACAACTTTTGATTTTTAAATGGCACCCTTGGTATTGTTTTACTTTATTTGATAGAGAATGACACTCTGAACAGAATGACATATCACATGTCCACTTTTGACATTTTCGCTTAAAACAAAATTGGATTTTAAATTTCAATCTAGAGTGCTATGGCTAACACATATCGATTGAAAACCAAAACATGAGAATGCTTTTACGAAACTATATAAAATGTTAAATTTAACCGTTATTTCAAAATATTTCAAAGGTATGAAAAATATTAAAACTTGTTAATACAAATAACCTAGTCATTTACTGTTGAAATAATCTTGTTAGGACATTCTTTTTTCTTATATCACAAACTATGGATAGTTCAATGAAATATTGGTATGTGACTGCCGTTTTAATCGGTAAATTACATTTTATTTATAGATATAATGTTCTTTGTCTGCAGTGGTTGTGTGAAGTGTTAAAAATAAATAATTTATTAACACATTTTGTTTGGAAATAATTTAAAATGCAAAAATGATAAACATTATAAGGTTTCTGTAATACTATAAATATGAGATAAATTGTGTATCAAAAAGCCAAGAGTATTTAGATGTCTTTTAATATACAGTATGTCCCGGATTGTCTTTACAAGAGGAAATACTTTTTTGTATATATTTTGTGCATAAAAATTTTTGCTTGTTAGCAAAAAATTTATGAAGAATGCATTTTTCTCAAAATGTCCATATTTAATAAAAATATTTTCCTCTTGTAAAGGCAATCCGGGGACATACTGTAAAAAAACGGCATCAGAGTTAGCTTGGAAATGATCTATTCAAACCCAACTCCTTTATATAATATTCCTATTGTTTTTTTTTATATTTACAATGTATAGGTCAGTTTGCAGAAATGATTGTAAGAAAATTACTTGACCTATCCTTATTAATAATAATTTGTAATAGCTTAAAACAGACCTACTTTTAAATTTAAACAATAAATAATAATATTATATTCTTATGTTTACAAACTAAAAACATTTTAATTTATGTTTACAAATTAAAATTATTGCTGGTGGTCTTAATTGGTATTCCGTTTCAATTTGTTGTAAAAAGTATCCAATGAATAATGATGTGCGGTTTTTTTTTCTCATACCTTTAGTTTATTTAAAGTGGTTATACAGCTGTAAGTACCGTATGATCGAATAAAAACGGCGTCACCGATGGCTATGAAATGACAATCGATGACATTTCCCATATAAATCTATACTAATATATAAAATCCTTAAGTGACTGACATACTGATTAATCACGATCCTGCTCAAACCACTCAACGTAAGAAGCTCAATTTTGGCATACAGGTTGATTCTAGGGTGTAGAGGTTCGATAAGAAGGGATTTTGCGAAATTCCAGTTCCAAGAGGGTGAAACCGGTCAAAGTTTCCGGAAAAACGCTTAAACACGTATATTTTATTTTGTTTTTTACATATTTTAAGATTTTTTTAATGTATACAGGGTGTTTCGAAAAATCTGGTCATTGATTAATCACGATCCTGCTTAAAGCGCTTGACGTAAAAAGCTGATTTTTGGAAAACAGATTGACTTTAGGGTGTAGAGGTTCGATAAGAAGGGATTTTTCGAAACTCCAATTCTAAGGGGGTGAAACTATCCCTCAAATATTAAAAAATTTGTTATTTAAAAACCGGTGAGTTTTTCGGAAAAACTCTTAAACACGTGTATTATATTTTGTTGTTTTACATATTTTAAGATTTTTTATAAATTTATACAGGGTGTTTCATAAAATATGACCATTGAGTAATCACGATTCTGTTTAAACTACTTGACGTTTAAAGCTGATTTTTGGCAAACGGATTGACTGTGGGGTGTAGAGGTTCGATAAGGAGGGGTTTGGTTTGTTTGAATCTCAAATTCCAAGAGGGTGAAAACGCTCCTCAAATATTACAATATTTGTTATTTAAAGAACGGTTAGTCTTTCGGGAAAACGCTTGGACAAGCGTAATTTATTTGTTTTTTTACATATTTTGAAATTTTTTAAAAAATCACACAGGGTGTTCCAAAAAGTTGTGTAATTTCTTAACCACGATTCTGCTTAAACTGCTTGACGTATAAAGCTTATTTTTGGCAAACGGATTTTTCGAAAGTAAAATTCCAACGAGATGAAACTACCCCTCAAATATTACCAAGTTATATAATAATATCGCCATATTGTTTTTTCTCATGCTGACATAAATGTGAGAAAATTTTATCCAGTTTGTCTGTTAATGAAAATTCTTGCTTTGCCTTATCATCACCATTACGAATGATTAATTCGACGCGAACGAAGTCGCTGGTACACGCTAGTTTACATATAAAATGAAAGCGATCTTCATTTCATATCCGTCGCTTACGCCGTTTTTATTCGATCATACGGTATATATCTTTAGAAGAACTTCTTTTCACTATCGGTTATTTCAAAAATATCTACATCGTGGAACATATTTAGATCAAATGAAAAAATATTTCAAAAATTATTTTAAAACTTTTTCGAGTGAGCTTGTTTTTTCTTTTTCGATTTTTATAATTTTCTTTTATGTTTAACTCTCAAAAATATTGCTGGTAGATATATTTAATAGATAAACTGGTCTTCTACTAAATGTACAAAAATATTTTTTGATATTGGGGTGGTATAATATACAGGGTGATCGGAACTGTATTCGAGAATCTTCGGTAGCATATCTACAGACAAAAATAGATAAAAAAGTTCGTATAAATTTATATCCTAAATTCGTCGATTCGGAGATACAGGGTGTAGAAGATTCATTTTTATTTCGATTTTTTCCAAAGAATTTCTGAACTAACGTCAATATTTGGACAATTTTCACGTGTTCGATGTCAATATGACTCCTACATGTAGGGGCCGGGCCGCCACATAAAAATTTTTGAACTGGTTTGAGGAGTAATAACTTTTCGTCTGTACCTGTATAAAACTACTGAGTGGAAAAAATATACATTTGCGTCATTTCTTTAATCTCCGAAACGAAGCATTTTTGGACATAGTACATTTATACGAACTGTTATACTTATTTTTATCTGCAGCATATGCGGTCGAAGTTCCTTAATACAATTCAGATCACCCTGTATATTAAGAAATAATTCAATAAAATCAAACAAACCAAATCACAACTGCTCAGGCAATCTTAAAAAAAACACTGTATGTTTTTTTCACCACCAATGTTGTTTTATTTTTTATTTAAAAGTTTAATTACATATTGTAAAAGTCTAAATAGGTCTGTACACAATAAAATTACTGATTGTTACGTCTGTCTGATAATAATTAGATATTTTACGTAAAATAAGTGATAGTTAATCGAACAATTTACTACACAATTACTACACGAGTAAAAAGTAAATAATTCATCAAATAAAATTCATTCTATTAATTCACAATTGACATCTCGTAGATACCTTTGCTAATATATTTTAATGAAATATATCCTTTGTTCCATATTCACATAAAATTAATTCAACAATAATTTAAATTAATTAAATACCACTAAATTCGCTGTTAAAAACTACTATATAATGCGTTATTTGTCAATATTTTTTAATTTATTATAGTACACATACATATGTTTTGCATAATTATAAAAAATATTAAATACAATCAATTTACACGAAGCCCATACTTCATTTATCAAGTTTTTTTATTTCATATTGATATAGTAATTTTGTTATTTTTCTTTTCAATATTATTTAAACTGTATTTACAATTTTTGAGATTAATATGTTTTTTATTAATTATATATTCATTAAAAAATAGCAATACATATATTAATCATTTAATTTGTCATGGTTCTCCTGCTAATAAT